CGACATCGACGACACCATGGCCGGCGACGGCTCCACCGCCGATGCTGCGGCCGCAGAGGGTGCTGCGCGCGGCGGCGTCGAGGCGCGGGGAGACGATGCATGCACATCGGCCGTGCGCCGCGAGGCGTGGGGCGACGCAGTGCTCGCCACCGATCGCCGCGGGCTGTCACGGCTAAAGTCGCCCGCCAGCGCGTCGTTGAGCAGCCGCCGCCGCTTGGCCGACGACGCCGACGTCGACTCGTCGTCAAACCTCGGCCTGCCACCGCCGATCGAGGCGAGCGGCGACGAGTAGGCCGGGCCGCCCCGCATGCTCGGGTCGCACCACCGTCTCGCCTCGTCGTCGACGCGCGACGCCCGCTCCTCGAGCTCCGGCCGCAGCTCCACCAGCCGGTCGGCCAGGCTGGGCAGGTGGAAGAAGGCGGCAATCTGCAGCGCAGCGTCCAGCGTCCGCGTCGAGTGCAGCCGCCGCGCCGCGTCGAGCGCACGAGAGTGGCGGTCCGCCTTGCACGCCAGCTGGATGAGCTGCAGCAGCGCCTTGTCGGAGCCCATCTCGAGCATGCCGGCGTCGAGCCCGGCTTCGTCGGCAGGCGGCGCCAAGCCGGCGTAGCGTGCGTCGCGCACCATCGAGGCCATCAGCGACTCCCGCAGCGACTTTTCCTCTTGCGCGCCCGTCCCGCTCTCGCGGTTGATGAGCGGCACCTCGAGGTCGAGCTCCTGGATCAGCGGGCGGGTGCCGTCGACCTCGGGGTACTGCTGGCCCGAGCGCAGGAAAAGCACCATCAGCTGCTTGGATGACAGCGCCACGGGCCAGTAGTTGAGGCTCGACGTGGCCCGCATCGCCGCCTCGCTCGTCGTCGTCGCCGTCGCCGCCGCACCGCCCTCGGCCACTGACGACGAACGATCCTTGAGCAGGTTGGTGTCGAGCAGCGGCACCCAGCGGCCTTGGCGCGTGCGATGGGCGCGGTCGAGGGCGAACAGGACGCCGTCGGACGTGTAGATGGCCGGTAGATGGTGGCTGTTGAAGCCGACCCAGCGCACGTGGACGTTGCTCGCCAGCGGCAGCAGGCCCTCCTGCACCACGTCAAAGTTGTGCAGATCGATCACGCTGTAGCCCAGGCTCTGGTGATCGTTGAGGGCGCCACCAGCGGCGCGGTAGACGACAAACGCGTACCGGCTGCTGGCGGCCATGCTTACGACCTGGTGGCCGAGCGCCCACAAGTAGAGCTGCATGCCGCTCGTCGACAGGAAGCGCAGGTAGCCCTTGGACGTGGCGACGATGGCGATCCCCTGGCCCGACTGCGAGGCGTCGCGGCCGTCGCCGTCGGAGCCTGCCGGGCGCGCAGCGTCGCCACCGCTCAGCGCCACCACCTCGACCTGCTCGTTGCCGACGAGGTTGAGCGTCCACTCGGAGCCGAGGCTGTTCCACGACTCAAAGGGCTTGAAGTAGACGCCGCTCGGGCTGTCTCCCTGCTGCCTGCAGGCGAAGAGCACGCCCTGCGGGCCCAGCGAGGCCATCGAGTAGCCGTGGTGGTCGGTGAAGCGGAAGTTGCGCCGTGCGGCCATGTCGAACGACTCAAACGAGATCGTCTGGTGCGTGTCCTGGTCGACGGCGGTGACCATGCCGACCATGTTGAATGAGAGGTAGCGGCGTTGTGCCCGCATCGGCGTCGACGTGGGCTGGAACGGCTCCTGCGGCTTGGTGCCTTGGATGAAGGTGGGCTTGGAGCCGCCGGCGCTGCGCCCTCTTCGCGAGCGCCCGTGGTGGTCCTCGTCTCCAGCCCCTCGGCCGTTGACGAGGGCCCGCCGCGTATAATGGGCGTAGCCGTCGTCATCGACGACAAAGTCCTCGAGGCCATCACCGTCGTCGTCATCCTCGTCGATTGGCCCGGCCGCGCGCCCGTTGGCTCCGGGCGCGCCAGGATCCACGCCGCCGTCGTCGTCGTCATCGTCGTCGATGCCGGTCCCCTCGAAAAGATCGTCGACCTGGTCGCGCGGCCGCCTCGAGCCCTTGGCGCTGCCGACGTGGTACTCGACGTGCTCGTAAGGGCTCGGGTAGGCGGGGCCGACGACGTCGTTCCAGCGCGCCAGCACGCCCTGGTTGTCGGTCCAGGCCAGGGCGTCGCGCGAGGGGTGCCAGCTGATGCCGGTGACGAGGCCCTCGGAGCGCTTGAAGCGGATGGCCTGCTTGGACGAGTAGTCCCACACCGTCACCTGGCCATCCGAGGTGCCGACGGCGAGGTACCTGCCGTTTGGGCTGTAGGCCATGGCGTTGATGCTGCCGCTTGGGCTTGGGACGGTGCCGGAGGACGATGCGAGGTAGGAGCCGGCGCGGACCCACGAGGGCGACTGGGTCTGGGCGTTCATGATGACGAGCTCGTGGGCCTTTGAGGGGATGACAAAGTGGCTGCCGGACGGGTGCCAGCAGGCGGTGCAGGCGACGTCGCTCTCGGGCCGCGCCGCGGGGAGGATGCCGTCGATGACCTTTAGGCAGTTTGGCTCCGATGAGCCCAGGTCCCACACCCGTGCGCTGCCGTCCGACGACGACGTGATGAGGATGGGGGCGATGGGGCTCCAGGCGGCGGAGCGGACGCCCCTCGAGTGGCCCGTGAGGAGCTGCACCCTCCTCGGATCGCCGACGTCGACGACGCGGACGATGAGCTCGTCGGAGCAGACGGCGACGCGGGGATGCTTGTCGGGCCCGACGGCGCGCTCGATTGCGGCGCAGCGGACGGGGAGCGACTCGCGGCGGAGGATCGATTGCAGGTGTGTGGGGGGCAGGGGCATGCCCTCGTGGTCGACGGGCCTGTGGCTGTAGAGGCGCACGCAGCCGTCCTCGGAAGCGGTGACGACGTAGTTGTGATCTGCCTCGATCCACGTGAGGGCATTGGTGGCGTCCTCGACCATCATGGGGTCCTGGCGCGAGTCGAGGGTGGTGCCGAGGATGCGGAAGAAGTAGTCATCTCCGGCAGTGTACAGGCGGCTGCGTGGTGCGACGGGGAGCAAGGTGCCATGTCAGGTCAGGTCAGAGGTGTGCTGGGTTTAAACGGGCGGTGATGTCGGGGGAACAGGCACGGCGACGGTGAGGGAGACTCACTCTACATTTGCTGCCTTTGGAGCGTGTGCGATGCGGGTGTTGCCCGAGAGGTGCACGATCTGTACATTGACGCTGTCTGCCTGGGTGCCTAGGGACGCCATGGCCGCTGGCGTCTGGGGATGGCGAGGGGCGAGGGGCGGGGGGCGAGGGGCAATGGTGCTCTTGGTCCCTGTCCCGGTCGTTGTGCCGGTTCCTCGCGGCAGTGCTTGTTTTTGTGTTGTCCTTGGCTGTACGGGGGTTTGATCCAAGAGCGAGCCTGTCTGGTCTGTGCAATGGCTTGAAGCAAGGACCGATGCCGTGTGCGTTGGGATGTGGTGTTGTAGAGGAAGCTGGCGGTTGGCGAGAAGCACACACTTCTCTCTCGCCCCTTTGCTCTGTGAACCCCTCTGCCTTGGCCACGGACACTGGCGCGCTGTGACTTCGCGACGCGTCCTCCCGGTCCACCTCTTTAGCCCTGGCCCATGTTTGCGGATCCGACGTCAGCCTCTGGAATCCAAAGGGCATGGTCCGAGCACGCCAGAGGCGCTCAGTCGGGGGCTGGCTGGCCTGGTGCCACTCAAAGACTCTCGCTCCTTTGTTGCCTCGCCCATCCCTCTCTCGACCCCCGTTGCCATCGCTCGCCACCGTTCACCATCAACGAGGAACTACGATGTCGGACCAGTCCGCTATCGCAACGGCAGCAACCGACCGACGAGGGATACCAACGTCGGCTGCCGCCTCGACTTCTCCACAGCAGCCGCCGCCTCCACAGCCACCTCCATCCAACGATGGCCATCCTTACCTCCCACAGCAGCAGCAGCAGCAGCAGCAGTCAGCACCATTAGGCCAACAACCGCCGCCGCCGCCGCCGCGCTACCCCTCATCCTCACCTTATGCTCACGCCGCTCCCCCACAGATGGACCGCATCCCTTCCTTTGCCTCGTCTTCGTCTGCCACCTACAATGCCTCCGGCGCACCATCAGCACAATCGCCGCCCTCCGCCTCGCGCAGCAATCCCCGCCATGCCGCCTTCGCTGCTCCTGCTCCTGCGGCTGCTCCCAGCGGCCAGCTGGCCCCGTCGAGCACCGCTGCATTGCCTGCACCCAGCGCCCCCATGCTCGCAAAGGGATCCCAGGCCCTCTCGCTCAAGGTCATGCGCATCTCGACGCCCGCCCTACACTCGGTCGATCGGCCCTATCACGAGGACGATACCCACCTCGCATCCCTGCCATCTGCTGACGCATGGCATTCCATCCCCATGGACGGCCTCGTACCCGGCGAGCGCGCCGAGCTCCATTCCCCGGCAGCCGCCACGAGCGACCGCTTACTGCCGGCCTTTGCCCAGTCACTCACCGCAGCACTCCGCGACGACATGCTCAGCAACCAGGCATCGTCGTCCTCCCCCCAACCGCCGCCATCACTAGGCGAACACTGCCCCGTGCCGAGCACTCTACGCGACTGGCCCATCGGCAGTCTCCTCACCCTCCCCGCCAGCTTCGGCACCCTCTACCTCGGCGAGGCCTTTTCCGCCTACCTCTGCGTCCGCAACGAGGCGCGCCACGCCGTCAGGGACCCCTGCCTCCGCGTCGAGATGCAGGTCGGCGATGGCGGCGATGGGCCGGGTCCGAACGGCAGGCCCTCGGGCAGCCGCTCCCTCCTCGCCACCGTCGTCGCCGACGCCGCGCAGGGCGATCCAGCCGAGCTCACCAATGACGCCAAGCTCGAGACGACGGTGCGCCACGAGATCCGCGAGCTCGGCCCGCACGTCCTCATCTGCACCGTCTCCTACAAGGCGCCCGTCCAGGAGCCCGGCGGGGGCGTCGCGTGGGCAGAGACGAGCTTCCGCAAGTTCTACAAGTTTGCCGTGCCCGCCTCGCCCCTCTCGGTCCGCACAAAGACCCACGAGCCCCGCTGCGCATCCCACGCGCTCCACCCGGACCACCGCGTCCGCGAACGCTTCCTGCTCGAGGTCCAGGTGCAGAACATCAGCCCTTCGCCCCTCGTTTTTGAGGGCCTCGACGTGAGACCCGAGGCGGAGTGGGAGTGGCACAGCATCGACCGGCCTCATCTGTCGTCCTCTCGCCCCGATGGCCGTGGCAGCGGCAGCGACGTCGGTAGCCTTTGGCGGGGCATCAACGAGCCGCTGCTGCCAGATGACGTCCGCCAGTACCTCTTTCAGCTGGTCCCGAAGGGCGACAAGCCTTCCAGGCCCCTGATTCCGATGCCGCTCGCCCCCGCCTTGCATCTACCAGCCGCAGCACACAGCCGGCCCGGCGGCGGTGCGGCGACATCGACCCCGGACCGACGCTCTCTAGTCTCGCTGGGGGATGGCCGGTCTCCGGCGGCCCATCGTCCCAACATGACGACGTCGCGGCCGGATGCAGCCACGGCTGTGCAGACCACGGTGCTGCCCGAAGCCATCGGCAGCCTCGACATCGCGTGGCGCATGAGCCAGGGCGAGCCCGGCCGGCTGCAGACCAGTCAGCTCATCCGGAGGCGCACCGTCGTGCAGCCGGTGCGGTGCTTGGCCGAAGCTTCGGATCGACTTGCTACATCGCTCGACAAGGCAGATCTGCCTTCAATCCCAGAGGCCGGCGCGGCCGCAAAGGAGACGGACGGATCAGACTCGACGCCCACATCTGCTTCCCAGACCGGTCTCGGCACACCGTTCGTCCCGCCCTCCGAGCTGCCTCGCTCACAGCTGCCGCCGCCAGACCTGCCTCCGCCGATGATCGAGGTCGGCTTGAACCTCGCCTCTGCGGCAGCGCCGTCGCTCGCCGCCTCCGCCAAGAGGGGACAGGCTGTGACACTGCCGCTGCAGCTCTGGGTGCGCGACCATGCGGCGTTTGCGCTGACGGCAGCCAGCTCCACTGGCCAGGCCGGTGCCCGCGGCCCTTCACACCTGGCAGCGGGTCCGGACTCTGACGACAGCGACGACGACCGGCCGCTCAGCGAGCTGGCATCGCCTCGGCATGGCGGGCAGGGGCTGCCATCGATGTCGTCGCGACGGTCCTCGGCGGTCTCGGTGCCCACTGCGGCCCAGACTGCGTCCCGTCCTGCCGCCAGGCTTGAGAGCGGCAGCCGCACGCTCTTCCTCGCCGTGCAGCACCTTGCGCACCCACTGCCAGAGCATGAGCCTCCTGCCGAGTCGCCGCACGCCGCCGCGTCCGGGCCCCGCAGTGGCGCGCGCCCGCCATCGACGCGGGACGGCGAGGACAGTGCGCTGCGAAGTGAGCCGTCATCGCTGCTGCGGTCGCTCACGTCGCCATCGACGCCTTCAAGGCCGCTGGTCCGCCGCAGCCTGCAGCAGAACATTGTGGCCAACCTCGCCTCTTCGCCGCTGCTGCGGACCGGCTCGCTCTCGCTCCGGCGCGGAGGGTCCGAGGGGCAGGACAACGACCCTGCTGGGGGCCATGCTGGTCGGCTCGAGTCGCCGCACCCGCCGCCCACGCCCCCGCCCAAGGAGCGGCCGGATCCCCTCGACTACGGCCAAGCGGCAACCGAGCCCGGGTCAGCGGCGCAAGGAGCGCAAGGTGCGAAGGGAGCATCGAAGGTGTGGCCTCGGCCGCACATCGATGTCGACCACCTGCTCGACGGCGCGCTGCCGGACGTGGAAGGCGAAGACTTTGAGCGGCGCGGCTCGACGCTCCAGCTGCTGGCGCCGGTCAGGATCGACCTCAAGGCGGACGGAGGCGATGGCGTGGCGACGGGCGAGGCGAGCGTCGCGTTTGACGTCGACTACGTGCCACTGCGGAGCGGCGTCATCCGGGTCGGCGGGATGCGGGTGCTGGTGCTGGGTTGGCAGGACGAGGTCATGTACCGCGCGGATCGAGGCGAGGGCGAGGGCGAGGGCGGCGGTGAGGGTGGAGCAGAGGAGGGCGACGGGGCCAAGACGCAGAGCGGCGGCAGGGTCGAGCTGCGCAAGCCGGTCCTCGTGCGCGAGTGGGCCGTGGTGGCTGAGCTCTCTGCGCGGTAGCGGCAGTCGAAGAGCAATACAATCTAGCCTGGGGACTCATGGCATGGTCATGTCGCGCGCTGGCGTCGGGCGCGCCGATCGACGGGACGGACGGGCCGACCCGAGGGGGCGTGCACCACCACCACCACCACGCTGGCGCCCGCGCCGAGGGACGGAGAGTGAACCGACCACGAACGTGTTGGCGGGCTAGAGCTGGCTTGTTGGTGCTTCCTGCGGAAATGCCAGGCCGAGCGTGGCCCAAACGCGACCCGCTGCCGGCAGCGCTATCCGGGGTGGGCGGTGTGCCGTGCACCTGTATGCTGTGCCTCAAACCCGCGGAGCGTACTGCGTTTCGAGCAACCCGGCCTGCCTGCGAGCAACAAGGTGTAGAGTAGTGGGGTCGGGACGGCCGAGCCGACGACTGCGAGCGAGTCAGGCAGGCAGGCCAGGGCGTAGGCGTAGGAAGGAGGAGCCAAGCCATGCCTTGCCATGCGTTCGGACAGAGAGCCGATCCGGCCCGACCTGATCGACCTGACCCTCGACCTTCGACCGCGGTCGTCGCCGCCGGGGTGGTGCAGAGTAGGGTGGGGTGGAAGGCCCCCCGCCCTGCTCTTGATCTCGTAAACATGAGGCCTGGCCCTTTGTCCGCTACACTAGTACATACTCGACCATGGGCTCGTCCGACGATGTGTTCGGTGTCGCTCTCCTCTGCCCGCCTGGCTGCTGGTGCAACACGTACGATCTCCCTTCTGTCCGCGCGGTCTCGTCTCGACCCTTTGCTCGTGTGGAGGCAGGCCAGAAGACCGAAGAACCGACAGCGCGACAAAAGCCGAAGCAGCCAAAAGAGCACATCGGCTGCGGGGACTTTGTCGAGCACAGCGCAGCAGCTTAGTAGCAGCAGCAGCAGCAGCAGCAGCAAGCAGGTAGGCTAGGCGGGCCAGGTCAGGGTCTCGGTGCGAGTGCGTCGAGGCGCTGATCGGGCCGTGCTTGCTTGCTTGCTTGCTCTTCTCTCCTTCGGCCGCTTCCGCTTCTTGCTTGCTTGCTTGCTTGCTTGCTTGCGGCTCCCGCCGAGGCAGGAGGCAGGTCGGCATCATCATCAGCATCATCGTCGCCGGCCATCGTCGTCGTCGCCGGGGGCCTAGCCTGGCCTGTCGCCAACGCGGCTCATCACCATCAGGCATTGCCTGTCTGGCCTCGTCGTCGGTCCCGCCGTCGTCGTTGGTTTGTTTGCCCTTCGCCGCCGCTGCTGCTGCTGCTGCTGCTCGCCCAAGAAGAGACCGACGTACGTTGCTTCTGGCTGTGTTCGCTCGCTTCCCGAGCGCTCGCTGACGCCGCTGCCGGCCGGCCGGTCTTTGCGTGCGTGTGGGCCAGCCAGAGACCAAGGCAGGCAGGCAGGCCGGTGTGTCATTTTTTCTTTTCTTTTTCTTTTTCTCCTTTGGCCCGCCCCAGCAGCAAGCCAGCCAGCGCCGCTGCCGGCCAGCTGCAGCCGCCGCCTCCGCCATTTTTTCTTTTTCTCTTTTTCCCCTTTTTCGCCTGGCTCGAGGCCGCCGTTGGCATGGCTGGGAAGGGGGTGAGGTGAGGCTGTGTGTGGGCCTGGCAGGGCAGCAGGCAGGCCTGGCAGGACCCCGCCCGCCGCCTTGGGCTCGCTCCCGCCACGACGTACGCCCGACTCGAGCGGCTTCTCGATCGTCCTTTTTCGATCTCGCCGCTGCGCTGCCTCCTGCTGGCCCCCCCGGCGTCCCTTCGTGTTGGCCTCCGCTTTCCTTCGCGACCGCCCGCCTCGCTCCACCACCACCACCACCATCTCAAGAATACCCCCCCGCCCGTCTTCTCCCGCATCTCTCTTTCGTCTTCGCCGCTCCCGCGTTCGCCGCCCCGTCTGTTGGCCTGCCGCTTTCCCGAGTCGGCCTAGACGCAGGAAGAAAAAAAGCATCGTCGACCTAGGCTGCCGTGCAAAGTCGAGTCGCCCGCCCCCTTTTTGGCCCCGGACGGCTTCTCTGCACAGCGAACCAAAGCCGCACTCCGGTCGTCGCTCCCTCACCGCCACCTTCCATCCTCTCATCGCACCACCGCCACCAACGTCATCACCCTTGCGGCCTCGAAGGCACGTCGCTCCTCGCCTTCTTCGCCTCCTGCACAGCCGCAGCTGCACCCAGCCGGTCGTCTTGACAAACGCACTTGCTGGCTTCAACGCTGCGCCACCCATCGCCGACCGATCGCTCCGCACCCTCTCCAGCATCGGCTCGCCGGACCCTCGATAGGCCATCGGTGGTAACTCGTGGGCCCCCCGTCAGCTACAAAAGAGCGAGGACTCGGCTTGCGATACTGGCCTTGCACGACCCCATACGACCACCACCATCATCAGGTTACAGCCACCGCTGCTGCAACGCTACCTCCGGCCCCTTGCGTCTCGGTAGATACCCTCGATCTTCGTTTCACGGCCCGCAGAGTATTCGACCTACGCCTCCCCTTCTTGAACCCATCCCTGCGACGCTCGACGGCTTCCGCTCGCCCGCTGCATCTCACCGACGTCCATTCGGCATCGATCCGCGAGGCGCTACCAGCCTCTGCTCTTCCCAGGCAGTCTCTGCGGCAGCCGATCGGCAAGCGTCCGAACGAGGACAGCCTCGTCTCGCCCCGCCTCGCCTGCCTCTTGAGTCGTTGGCATCTTGCGCACCGGCCGAGAAGTCACACCGTCCCGAGTGACGGTTGTGCCCTCGCCGCTGCTTGCCTGCCTTGACCCCACCGGAGCGCTCGGGTCGCCACCGCACCAACCTTTGTCTTTGGGACCACCCACGTTTCCCCGCCCCTTCAGCTTCCGCTTCGGCGCTTTCCGAGTCGGTTCTGGAAACCTCGGAAGACGCACCCATTCGCCCGTTTGCCCGGCCAAGCAGTCCGCTTTCGTCAGTCAGCTGTATACCAACTCGACACACCTTCGCATCTCGACGGCTACCCTAATCCCCTCGTCAACTGAGCCACCCTCGCCGGCATCTTTGAGCTCGGCGCGATCACGGTCCTCCGGTCGGTCCTCCTCCACGGAGCCGCATCGCCTCGTCTCGACACGCTTCAAAGGTCAGGCCGAGACAGCTCGCGCTACCATCCCGTTACCAGCCAACTCATACCCGAGCCCTCTACTCGCGGTCGCTCCCCCATCTCTGGCGGCATCGCAAGCTAGCACGGATCACTCACACCGGCAGGCGATAACGCATCTGCCAGCAAGCCTGCAGGAAGAAGCCTTCGGAACTCTCCTTGCTCGCCCCCCTCTTCAACTCTCTCTCCCCCCCCTTCTCTGCCAAGCAAGGTCGACTTGAGCTGGCAGTCCTCCCCGGAGCCTCGGCGAACTCTACCGCGGCTTCTGGACCCCATCACCCGACAGCATGGATCTCTACTCGACATCCTTCACCATCCCGCGGTCCACGGGCGCGTCCAGCTTTGTCCATGACAGCGCCACAGTGACCGGCGGCCTGGGCTCCGTCGACCCGATGCGGTCGCAGGGCCCGCCTCCGCCGCCTCCTCCATCGAGTCGTCCGCCCGTGACCGAACCACCGCCGTCGTCGTTCCACGGCAGGCTGGGCTCGATGCGGTCCCGCTTCCCGCCCAGCGTCAAGGCCTTCATGCCGAGCGCGTTTGGCGGCAAGCGCACCAGCGACCGGATCGCAGAGGCCGTGGGCCAGGAAAAGGCCGAGGCAGAGGCCGACAGCGAAGCCGCCGCCGCCGGGACCGGCAACAGCGTCTCTGGCTCCGAAAAGGCGGAGCTCTCCAACGCCGGCTTCGACCCGACCACGATGCCCAAGCTACCGAACCCGCTGCTGGCCAACCTGGACCGGTCCATTGCCCAGATCAGCCGCGATAGCCGCTCGACGATCGGCACCCGCTCCTCGCTCGACTTCTCGTCGTCGGCGTCGTTCTCGGCGGACAGCACCGCGCCCAGCAGCGCCATTGGCGCCCAGAACGGCGCCCGGGGCGACGGCCTGCCCGGCCAGGGCCACTCTCAGACCCAGCAGCAGTCGCACTCGGACCCCAACAGCGCCAACCACTCGGCCTCGAACTCGCTCTCGAACGCCAACGGAGGCGGCATGCCGCACTCGCAGAGCTCAAAGGACCTGGTCGACGCGATGCAGCGGCTCAGCCTCGATGTCATGGCGAGCCACCAATGCCTGGTGACGTTTGCGCCGGTGCAGCCCGACGAGCCCAAGGTGTCGACGCCGCTGGCCGGCCAGCAGGGCTTCCCGCGGCAGCTGTCGTTCCCCGCCTATGGCAGCAGCGACGCGCTGCCCTTCCCCAACAGCAGCGGTGCCAACGGATCCGGCTACCCCTACCAGCAGTACCATCCGCAGCCGATCGGGACGCCCGACTCGTTGGCCTCGGGCGCCTTTGTGCCCGGCGGCGCCGACGGCATCGGCTTCCCGGGGTTCAACGGCAGCTCGCTCTCGCTCTCCGGCCTCAACCCGAGCTCGGGCACGGCGCAGAATGTACTGGCCCAGGACGCGCTCGCCTCGAGCAACCTGCGGAAGCGGGTGCCGCAGTACAACTTCCACCTGAGCGGCGGGTACCAGCAGGTGATGGGCGCGCGCGGCGCCATCCTGCGCGAGAACCCGTTCAAGGTCAAGTCGAGCATCAAGGTGCCGCGCGCCGATGTGCTCGAGGCGTCGTCGGGATCGTCTCCGGGCGCCGATCCGGTCAAGCCCGACGTCCGCCGTCGGCTCGACGAGATCTCCTCGACGACGGGCGCCGGCGTCCTGGTCATCACCAGCGACGCTCGCGGCGCCGACCTGGGCTACGGCCTCGAGACTGAGCGGATGGCCGAGCTGGTCGTGTCGGGCCCCTTTGAGAGCGTCGAGCTGGCGCGCGTCAAGGTGCTGGTGCTGCTCGACGAGCTCCTCGGCCTGCACTCGGAGACGTGCGAGATCGACTACAAGCTGCACAATATCATCGGCGGCCGCAAGCGGTGCGTCGTCCAGACGATCCAGGAGGAGACGGGCACCAACGTCTACCTGCCGACGCCCTTTGCCGGCACGCTCAGCGGCGGACGCAACGCGCCCCCGCCCGGGCGCCAGAACACGATCCACATCACGGGCGAGTTCTTTGGCGTCCAGCGGGCGCGCGACATGCTGTTCCAGGTGTCGCTCCACAAGAGCAAGTGCATCATCTCGCGCGACGCCGCCATCCTGCCGCGCAAGCTCGACTGGATGCTGACCGAGCGGCTCGAGGAGCTGCGCTCCATCATGCTCGACAACGGCACCTTTGTCGCCTTCCCCGTCATCGGCAGCCAGGCCAGCCTGATCTCGGTCTTCGGCGACAACCGCGTCAACATCGAGCGGACGATCCGCTCCATCATGCAGCTGGCCTGCCAGTTCTACGTGGCGTCGCTGTGGCTGCTGCCGGTGTCGTTTGACGTCTTTATGTCGCCGGCGTCGCTCAACCCGACCCAGATGGCGCCCATCCTGCGCCACATCAGCAACGCCTCGGGCGCCGAGGTCGTCTTCAAGGGCAACTGCTTCGAGGTCCACGGCCTCGAGGGCGAGGTCCGCTCCGCCGTTTCGTCGATCCTCGACCTCGACGTCGTCAAGAGCTTCAACTTCGAGGTCCGCTTCCAGATCGAGCTGGCCAACGAGCACCGCGAGTTCATCAGCGGGAAAAAGAACGGCAAGATCAACAAGGTGATGAAGCAGTGCGGCGTGCGCATCAAGTTCGAGACCTTCAACGACTACAACTTCCTCATCGACATCAGCGGCAACGACCGCGCCGGCGTCCTCCAGGGGCTCGGCTTGCTGCAGGAGGAGCTGCCCGCCGAGATGTCGTTCCACGTCCCCGAGGCCTACCACAAGCGCATCATCGGCGTCGGCGGCAAAAACATCCAGCGCATCATGAAAAAGTACGGCGTCTACGTCAAGTTTTCCAACGCCGAGGAGTTTGCGGCGCTCGGCGGCTACCTCGACAACGAGGACAACGTCATCGCCCGCACGCCCGCCAAGAACGCCATCAACCTCGAGAACCTCAAGCAGTCGGTCATGGAGCTCGTCAACCCAAAGGACAAGGATTACGTCACCGAGACGGTCGCCATCTCGCGGCGTTACCACCGCACGCTGCTGGGCGAGAAGGCCATCTTTATCCACGACATTGAGAGCAAGACGAGCTCCATTGTCCGCTTCCCGCCCAAGGAGTCGGCGTCGGACCTCGTCACCATCTTTGGGCCCGAGTCGCAGATCCACATTGCGGCCCAGATGCTCCTCGACCACGTGCCGTTCGAGGCCGAGTTCCGCACGCCCAACTCGCTCGAGCTGTCGGCGGTGCTGCAGACGCACGACTTTGTCGCCCTCGCCGAGCGCCTCAAGCACGACCTCAACATCGTCGTCGCGCCCATCCTCCGTCAGCGCCAGGGTGGCGAGGCCGTCTTCAAGCTGCGCCTCAACCGGAGCAACAGCGACTTCCTCCCGACGGCCAAGGATGCCCTCGAGGATTTCCTCATCAGCCGCAACATCAACGTCTACGCCTCGCCCGTCCGCGCCCGCTCCGACTCTTTCGCCTCGGCCTTTCCGCACTTTGCCAACAAGCTCCTCTCGACGGCGGCGGCCGCCGAGTCGAGCGAGTCGTTCCACGCCGCTGCCGCCGC